GGGAAGTGGAGTTTGCATAACATATGCAATGCAAGGTGTCGGGGACACCTAAAAAATTGACTTCGAAAAGTAAAAATTAAAAGTTCTAAAGTATAATGGTTATGTTGATGGAAGCTGAGTGTCTTGAATGTGACTTTGGGTATTGAAAGTTACTTGTTGGCTAGTCCTTTCAGATATTCTTTTTTTACTACCACGATGGCAAGAGGTTGGTATTGCTGGACCCTTTAATAGTTTTTACTTAAGTTAGTTGAGAAATTGGTCATCACATGTGCACTTAGACCGGAAGAGCACTAAGGAAGGAAATCTTAAGTTGTCATTTGTTAAGCAAACTTAACACAGTGATGAGAAACTCATGATGTTGACTTGCACTTATTAGTGTTGGGAACCCCTGCGATATTGAGTTTGGTCCCTCAATATTCGCTAAATGATAGCTTACCATGTCTGCCAAACACCTTCACTATCATGTCTTTTGTGTTAGGTCCCAAATATTATTTATGGAAAGTGTTTAGATTTGCTCATTTGGCATATTTACAGAATGTAGAGATTATCTTGAACACAATAGTATTCGTCCTATATCCAAATTCGCAATCTAAGGACATTCCATATTTAGTAAATTTCGAGCTTATTCTAGAGACTAACTTCTGGTACTAAAGGAGGCTTGGGGTGAAAGCCCAAAGCGTATGTTCCTCATAGGGGGGGATATAGGGGGTTATAGGGGGTTTCAAATGTATAGTAGGGATAGTGGGTAGGTTAGGCATGGTTGACCAACTTAAACATTGTCTAGCTCCCGCTTGCATGCTTGTCCTTGTTCAGCGTCTAGCTTGGGTCTAAGCCCAAGCTCCATTCCATGCTAGCTAGTGGAGTACTTATATCCTTGCATTAGGCCACTAGTATGCTGAAATAGCATTAGATTCCATTTGGCTCCGTTTTGCGTGCTAGTCCTAGCATTGGGATGCTAGTTGCTCTAGAACTAATCCAAGTTGCTCCGTGCTCCTGTCCTTTCGCTCTTTAGGTTGTATGCTCAAAAGTTATTCTGTGCTTCAATACCATTGCTCCTTGGCTCTATGCTTGGGAGTTTGGCACCGTTCCTTTGTTTAGTGGCCCAAGGCCTTGAAACTTGAGTTTCACTCCACTGTCCTTTGGACATATGGCATGTAACATATGGCACATAAAGGGTTTAGGTTCCGCTTTCATGGTTATTCTATTGTAAATCACCATAGGATAAAGGGTAAAAACCACATGTGCTACACTGAGACTACTCAGGAATTAATAATTGGATTGAGATAGAGAAAGTGCCTCTAACAGGTTTAGCAAGAACTAAACCAAATAAAGGGAGAGAACCACCACAAGTGGTCTAATGAGTCTCTAAGTTGGGAAGACTATTCTCCTTAGAAGAGGGGAAATGTATAATGAGCTTTTGGTGTCGAACTATTAATGAATATTGGCTTGGTGCTAAAGAAAATAATAATCCATGATAAGGTTATTTTATAAAATGGTTTATCGTTCGATAAGGACATTAAACTTCGTCTATGGGTGGTAGAGTTGTGAGACACAAATCCTTGAGCCCCAAAATGAAGCCGAAAGGGGGTGGTAGTGGCCAAAACAGAAGCCAAATAAGCGTAACATATTTGGATTAAAAGCTCCAACTTGGACAGTCGAGAGTGGGAATAGAATTCCCAACGAAGTGTTCAAGAATGATCATGAAGCAAGTAGTGAATCTCTAGAAAATGGCCTATGTGTTGGGTGATAATATATCCACTAAAGAATCTAAAGTTAGAGTGAATACAGACAGACAAGTGGGGTAGGTTAGTGATGTGTTCAAGAGCCAACTCTAGCTCTTCCAAAAGATTAAATAGTCAATGCTCCCAATCCAAGCATGGGTGGCACTACCTACTTCAATATTTTGTGTGGTTTATTGGAACTTTGTTCTAGCCACATGGCTAAGGCACTTAAAGGTGGAAGGTGGGGAGAGTACCCACAAGGCTTGCTTAGGGCCATATGTAAGCAACTAAAGGGAACGATTCGAAAGACAATCCATAGGGGTTTAAATATAGAGGGAAAGGGCTTATAAACAAAAGTGCATCCTCTTTTCCAAACGGTTAAAGGTCTTGGGATATTTGGAGTTAAGCGTCCTTGGGTGTGAATAGTACTGGAACACGAGGTCATTGTAGTATAGTAAACTCAGGAGCTTACACAATAGTGTTTCGAAATGTTCTAAAATCCTAGAAACACTATGTTCTAAAATCCTAAACTGTGAAAAAAAAAAAGAGCAATTGTAAAAGAATATTAGGGAAGGTTATTCCCTATGTCTTTGAGAGACAAGATTGCAATGCAAGTAGTCTTAAACCATCAATGTAACAAAGGTGAATAAACATAGCCTTAGAGTAACAAGTTAACATTTGCACTTGGTCCAAAATGCTTCACATGTTTGATGTTATAACCGACACCTAAAAGTACTCTTGCCATATTAAGTGGCATAAATGCCATTTATAGGGCTAGCAAGTCCCTAAATCTGGAATAGAATTTATAGAGGTTGTGAGTGAGACTTTTCCAAGTGGTTAGAGGTGTGATTAAGTGACTAAAGTATAATAGAAAATTTAATTGCTTACACTTAGGTTGGTTATAAGTGTGGGTATTTACAATAGTTTTTCCAATATGTGTTTTCTTACCTTTTGGATTAGTGATAACAACTTTAATGCCAACTACTTTTTTTCTCAACTTGAATATTTCATCAAAGTTCAATTACCATATTAGCAATTGTTATTAAATATTTCACAAAGAAGGATTTTTAAAAAACCTATTAGCTGCAAAGTTTTAAAGAAAAGGATGAATCCATTAAAAAACATTTGTTATATATTTTTTAGAATGTTGTAAGGTAAGTCATTGCTATAATGATATACATCCTTAAAATATGACTCCATTAAAAGGGTGTAAAATTTTTAATTAAGTTTTTCTCACTTTATAATGCATTATGAGAATGTTGGCAATGACTAAGAGAATTTTAAAGTCAAAGTTTCTAAACCCTCAAGCTTGAATGACAGCAACTAAATTATCAAGAAAAAAGTTGTGAGGATCTTGGAAACAAGACTTTAATATACAATTTTGAATAGGCTAAAACAATAAAAAGAATCTATTCCAAATTTTTTTATTAATATCAGTCATATGCTTAATTTATATTTCCAATAAAGATATCTCTTTATCACTGTTTTAAATATCTTCATCATAAGTATAAAACTATAATCTCTATTACTCATATGATATCCATTCATAAGCCAAATTTCATCCTACCAACTCTCCTTAAAAATATCTAAGAGATCTAAGATAAAGATTTTCTTACTCTCAACAAAGAAAGAAAGTTTTTAAAGATTGAGTAATAAACTCTTATTTGTAGCTCCTCAGAAGATGAAAAAAGGGTTGCCCACAAGTTATGACTTAGTGGGGGATAATGAACTAGAATAACACCTTAATCAAACTCTACTCGACCATTTTTCATAATTTTCAAAAACATAGAAGAGGAAAGGTAAAAAAAAAAAGAAAAAAACTCAAAACACCTCTATACTCACTATATAAAAAATAATAAAGGAGGAAAAAGAACTTTAAACTTGATTTCTCCAATATAAAACTTTAGATGATTTCCTCTATAATCCAAGCTTTATACTCCATTAGTGCTCTATAAAAATCTATTAGTGTTTTCCATATGATCACCAAGCATCATCCATCTATAGAAATCTTTATTATACCCTTCTTTGGAGGGATTTTGCAAAGTAATGATGTGATTAAGAATAAATTTATTAGCAAAGAAGTCAATGAAGATCTTATTAATTCTTTAGCCTTTCTTCATGCCATTATAAAGTTGTCATTTTGAAGCTCATAACTAGTAACACACCGTCTTTGCATACTTTATGCCTAAAGAGAAAGAGGGGATTTTTATTAACTCTTAATTTTTATATTTTTCAAAGGAAGTAGAAACAAAGAAAGAACATTGCAAAACTAGAAGAGAAATTTTAAATTAGAATCACTCCATATTACATGCTTTAATACTTTGTGTTGTACTCAATCTCGGACTTAGTCTTGGACTCAATCTCAGAACCAATTTTGGAATCGATCTCAAACTTGATTTTGAATCTCAAATCTCAAACTCAATCTTAGACTTGGTCTCAAACTTGATTTCATATTTAATCTTAGACTCAGTTTCACAATGAACTCTTTATTGTTTTGATCATGATTTCAAAGGATCTTTTAACTTACAACACCTCGGGGAGTTAATTTTTTATAATAGAGTGCTTGCGAGCCACTATACACTTTCTATTCTTACATACACAAAATTTAACAAGTGTAACAACTTATTTCGAGGATAGTGAGAGAGAATACTTGAAGTTGAGATTTCTTTAACTGCCACAATATTAGATAAACACCTATAAATCTAATTTATAAATAAATAGGAAAGTCAATAGAACTTCTACTTTTATTAGAGTGGGAAAACGTGCCACAATGGATGAATTCTTTGTCTAATTGGTTGTGGTGTGCATTGGATCTTGCAGCAATATGACCTCATGGCCAAGGTTTTGTCACACCTGTGTGCATGAAGAGATTTCTCCTAGACAAAATTACAAATCTACAATGTTGTGATAGATCTAATCTTTTCTTTTCATTTCATGCAAGTACAGATCTTGAACCATTAAGATCTATGGTTTTTCATACCCTAGCATTAAGATGGTGTGGTCAAAATGAAAATGAAGATCAAGAGGAACCAGAGCAAGAATGCAATGTCAGATTGATTCTCAACTATAAACAAACTTATATATGTTAAGAAAACGACAAAAGGCAAATCACTTTGAATGATCCTAATTATACAACATAACTGAGGATCAAAAGAGTGTTTTGTTTTGTTTGGTCCCTTGATGGCGAACTTTAACGGCTACGCAAGCTCTCGGCTCTAAGCGCTGAAGTTTGATCAGATTACTTTAAACTCAGAAACACGAGCTTACAAACATGTGGCAATGCAATCGGGCGATGGGTTCTTGGGTCTTGTGAGATCGTGCCGGGATCTCGTGGCGGCGGAGGCGATCCACTCTCGCATTGCGTCACTGCTTCCAATCGTGGACGATGTCTACGTCGCCAACAATCTGATTGAGATGTATGGGAAATGTGGGTCTGTAGATCGTGCGCGCCAGGTCTTCGATGCCATTCGATCCAAGAACTGCTACTCCTGGTCGATCCTCCTCTGCGCTTACTCGCACAATGGCTACCTGGCCCAGGCCAAGGAGGTCTTCGATGCGATGCCTTGCAAGCACGATCCCATCTGCTGGAATTCGATGCTGGCGGCCTATGTGCGGAATGGGCATCTGGAGGATGCCAAGCGCTTCTTCCAGATCGCGCCAGTGACGAATCTAATCTCCTGGAACACGCTTCTATCCGCATTTGCCCAGCGTGGGGATCTGTGGGAAGCGACAAGAATCTTTCAGGGAATCCCACTCAGGACGCAAATCTCATGGAATTCCATGCTCGCAGCGCTTGCCCTAAACAATGGCCTCCAAAATACGGTCGATTTCTTCCACCAGATGCCCAACCACGACATCGTCTCTTTCACAACGCTTCTCTCGGCATATGCCCAAGCCGGACACGTGGAAGGCGCAAAGCGCATATTCGATAAGATGCCCCAACGGAACTACGTGACGTGGAATGCCATGCTGACGGCATATTCCCAGAACGGGCACCTGGAAGATGCTCGGAGATTATTCGATGGTCTTGCAGAGCGCGATCTCTCCTCCTGGAATGCGATGATCACCGCATACGCGGAGGCAGGGCAAGTGGAAGAGGCCAGACAGATCTTCCAGGCGATGCCAGTGGTGGATTTGGCGTCCGCCACTGCGATGCTGGTGGCATTCGCGCAGTCCGGCCGGATCGATCGAGCCTGGGCTTTGCTTCTCGAGATGCCGGTCCAAGATCTCAAGTCCTCCACGGCGATGATCGCGGCTCTCGTCCAGGCCGGGCATCTGAACGAGGCGAAGCGCGAGTTCCAACAAATGGAGCAGCGTGATCTCGCTGCTTGGAACACGATGCTCTCGGCAGAATCACAGAGTGGGAATCTGGAAGAGGCGAGGTGCGCGTTGGAGAGTATGCCCGAGCACAACACGGTCTCCTTCACGACGATTCTCTCGGCATATGCCCAACACAGGCATCCTGAAGAAGCAGCACGGATCTTTGCACTGATGCCTGCCCGCGACGTTTCTTCTTGGAACGCAATTCTAGCAGCATTTTGCCATGCCCAGGAGCTTTCCAAGGCGGTAGAAACGTTTTTCGAGATGCCCGAGAGGGATCTCGTCTCGTGGACGTCGCTTCTCTCGGCATATGCCCAGAACGGGCACCTGGAAAGGGCTCGCGGGCTGTTTGATTCGATGTCTGAGCCCAATGTAATCTCGTGGAACGCTCTCCTCACTGGCTACGCGTCCAGGGGCCGCTGCTCCAGCGTTTTGGAATTGCTGGCAAGAATGAAGATCGCGGCTGTGTGCCCCGACGAGACGAGCCATTTGCTGCTTCTCACGGCCTGCGCTCGAAGTGGAGAAGTGGAGAGAGGGAGATCCTGCTTCGTTTCGATGGTGATGGATTACGAGCTGCAAGCTAGAAAGGAGCATTACAGCTGCATGGTGGACGCTCTTAGCAGAGCTGGGCGCTTTGATCAAGCCCGAGACTTGATTGCGAGCATGCCGTTTGTTCCGACATCTCTGGACTGGACAAGCCTTCTGACGAGCCCCGAAGAAGGGGTGCGTTCGCGTTGGCAGTTTGGAGAAGTCGAGAAAGGAAGAAAAAACCCAAAACCATATGTTGATTACATAAAATCGACACTTGGCCATGAAATTACACAAGCGGTGTGAAGGCTGTTTTCTTCTCCTTCCCCGAGTTCTTGTCAATCTTGTCCGGAAGTTCAAACTTGGTCTGCCAGCCCGCGATGATCATCTCGTCTGGAGAATCCGTCTTCTTGAAGCTTGGCCTCGTTTCCATGAGCTAAACAAAAGAGAAAAGAACATCTGAGAGATCATGTCGGACGAAAGCGAAGGAAAGCCTGGTGGAAGAAACTTGCCTCGATGTATTTTGCGACATGCTGGAGATTGCTGGGGAAGACGAAGTCTATGAAGTGCTTAAGAGCCACTCTAGCGTGATGAAGCTTTGGAGCCAAAGCAAAGTCGGAATTGGTGGGATTCTTTCCAGCGATGTAAGGGCCCTGAGAAACACAAACACAATTGTAGGAAGAACGTTCATGGAAGAAATTTTAGATGAGGAGAAACGCAAGAAGCTTACGTGCTTCTTCAAGTGCTCCTCGAGAGCTGTGAGCTCGTTGATAAACTCTTGCTTCGCTGGAGCGCTTCGGTCCTTGGACTTGAGCCAGTTTGTGAACGCTGGAAAGATGCCAGCCCCGCTGGAAAATCCAATCTCACATCTCAGTCGAGCTTCGGGAAAACAATGAAATCGGACTTACACGCTCTTGAACTCGTCTGGAGTTTTCAGGGACGGCTCCTTGAACTTGTTCTCCACATGCTCAAAGATCTTGTCTGAGTCTTGAATCCAATCAGCAGCGTCACGGAGAACCGGCATCAAGCCAGAGGGATTGCGTTGCATAAACCTGCGAGAAAACAAATCCCTTCTCCTAAGAAAAAATCAATCGATCTCTCGCAACTGACCAGTCAGGTTTGTTGGGTCCTTCCTCGACATAAGTTGCCTTGTAAGGAAGATGTTTCTCTTCGAGAATCACAAACTTGGAATTGGAACCAAAGAAGACAAATCCAAAAGTTTCATACCTTCCAGAACCATGTAAACTCGCTGAGAGAATGGACCTAGAAGACAATACAAATACCATAAGATATCAATGGAAGCTCGCCCAGCTATGGAAGATAGAACTCACAATCTCCCCGTTGGTTGCTGGGGCTTCCAGTTCCAGTAGCCGCCTTGCCAAAAACTTCAAGATCCACATCCTGCGAAGCCATAGCCGATACTCTCCTGGCAAATCGCCTCGATCGCGAGAAGGAAGAGCTCCAAGAGACTGGAAATCTCGATAGTCTGGAAGACGCGAAACACACACTCTGCAATGGGGCGATAGTGGCAGCCATTTGGAGGTTTTAGGTCACTTACACTTGCAAGCTCGCATGCGCGCCACGTTTCAAGCACGAACATTAATTCAAATTCAAATTCTAGGGCTAATAACTTTTATTCGTTGCGTGCTTTCTCGCAGCTTGATTCCTGGCATAATGCATTGCGTTACAGACGATCTCCAGGCCATAAATTCCCATCCTCTCCCTCGCACAGTTCAGGCGATCACTCCCTTCGCATTCGCGTTCTTCCAATCAGTCCGAGAGTTCTAGGCGAATTCCAATTCCATGGCGGCTGCGATGATCAAGCTCGCGATCGTGTGCGCGCTCTTCCTGGCGATCGCTTCCACCGCGGCGGCGGCGACCTGTAGCAACGATTTCACGGCGCTGCTGCCGTGCCAGGCGGCGACGCAGGACGCGCAGGCCACGCCCACGGCGGCGTGCTGCAGTGTGGTGGAGAAATTCAAGGATGATCCGGCGTGCCTGTGCTCCACCATCGCGGCCGCCAAGAGCGCGGGGATCAGCATCAACGAGGCCAATGCCGAGAGCATCCCTACGCGTTGTAAGTTCCAGGGATACCCTAGCTGCGCCAAGAAGATTTGAGGAGCCAAAGGAGAGTGGATTGAGACAAAATAACCCCTCCAAGAATCAATAAAACTCCCGCCTTTTCATTTCAAAATGCTAGGGCTTAGGGTTTATCAGGACAAGAGATATTCTCCCCACCATTAGGGTTCCAAACGACTATGGCGGTTTCGACGAGCGCAGCGGTGGACACGAGCGCCTTCAGCAGCGTCCCCACGGGATCCTCCGGCGACAAGGCGGTGGAGGGAGTGCTGGCGTCGCAGCAGGGCACGTCGCAGATCGGCTCGCTCTCGCAGCTCGCCGCCGGCGGCATCGCGGGAGCGGTGAGCAAGACGTGCACAGCTCCCCTCGCGCGCCTCACCATTCTCTTCCAGGTAAGGCGTCTGGGGATTTGTCCCCCTTGATCGATCGATTTCGAGCGCGACCACGCTGGATTTGGGATTTTCTGTGCTCGCTCCAGATACGGGGGATGACAACGGACAAGATTTTGACCAAGCCGAGCATCCTCAGAGAGGCTGCGAGGATATTGCGCGAAGAAGGGGGCTTGGCTTTCTGGAAGGGAAATGGTGTCACGATTGTTCATCGCCTTCCATACTCCGCGATTAATTTCTACTCGTATGAGCAGTACAAGGCGGTAAGTAACGCATCGTTTACTTTATTGTCTAAAATCCTTTTCCTGTCCCCCTCCAGGCACTGCTCAAATGGCTTGGAGTAGAAAGCAGTGGAGATGACAACTCCGGAGCTCGATTGCTTGCTCGTTTCGTCGCCGGTGGTGGAGCTGGAATCACTGCTGCTGCGACAACGTACCCTTTGGATCTCGTTCGAACGAGACTAGCAGCCCAGGTGAGTAGAGCTTGACCGTAGAGAAAGAGATGATGCGAGGGGTAGTTTTTCCTTTCTAGGCACTTCCTGAGAAGCTCTTAGCTGAAGTATGGCTTTGACAGAGAGTTTCTTGGGACTTATTTTGCGCCTTGCTCTTCACCTCGCAGGTGAAATGACCCCTGTGATTTGCAGACGACCTCAAAGCACTACACGGGCATCTACCACGCGATTTCCACAATCCATCAGCAGGAGAGCTTTCTTGGCCTTTATAAGGGACTCTGGCCGACGCTTTTGGTACGTTCTTCGAGAGCTTAATTGGTTTTTCTCCCTGCAAAACGCCAGAGACTTGACTCCTGCCAGTCCGTAGGCCCAACGATTGCGATAAACTTCTGCGTGTATGAAACTCTCTACAACTACTGGAACGCTCAGAGGTGGATTTTTTTAGTTTCGAGTCCTTGAACTAGAGGGTGAGCATGTTTACTTCCAGGCCCGAGTCGTCCAGGATGGTGACGAGCTTGATCTCCGGTGGAGTAGCAGGAATTGCTGCCTCAACAGGTAAGAGTCGTAAGATCGATTACGTTTGATCGCCATCGTTCCTGTTTTCAGCGGTGTTTCCGATCGATTTGGTAAAGAGAAGGATGCAACTCGAGGGCGATCGGAGATGGACGCCGGCTTACAAGCCTGGGATTGTGAGCGCGCTGAGGCACATTGTTCGCACCCAAGGCTACGCTGGGTTGTACAGGGGTATTTTGCCCGAGTACCTCAAGGTTTTTCCGGGCGTGGGGATTGCCTTCATGGTGTATGAAGTGATGAAGAACATTAGCGTCGCGAGGGAGAAGAGGTGAATGTAAATGGCCCGATTCATTTCAGCCGTCAGATATTCTTGAATCGACGGCCTGCTAGCAAATATTTAGGGTTCTTGCGATGGATGCTTGTTTCGCGGCTTGGTGACGGCAGCGATTCGACGCGACGCACCAGCATTCGCTCCTTCGGCGGCGCCGCTGCGGGCGCCCGAGCTGGTGTCGGCGCTATGGACACGTTATGTCCTGGAACGTTTTGATGCTGGGCTAGATGTGTCTCTGGATCTCTTCGAGAGGATGGAAGCCAGGCGGTCGGGCTAGCTTCATGGCCGAGTCGAAGGCTTGTAGCAGCCTCGCGGCGAAGGAAGATGCTGTTTTGGTCGATGGGAAGCTTGTCAAGGAGGCTACTCTCGAGACCCGCAGAGGGATCCAAGCAAATGTCTTGCAGATTTCCTCTCGAGCTCGCTGATCAATATGTACTCCAAGTGTGGCAGCATGCTCGATGCTCAATCGGTCTTCGATGAGATGCCACGGCGAGAGTCTCCTGGAACGCTTTGACACTGGGCTACGTAGAGAATGGAGAAAGCGAGATCGCTCTCGAGTTCTTTGGGAAGATGGACTGTTCGCCAAACTCTCGGACTTTCGTTGCTGCTGCCAAGGCCTGTGCGAATCTAGCAGTGAAAACTCTTTCAAGAAGATGGAAAGATGGTGAAGACGAGGAGCCTCGAGAAGGGAATCGCTGTTTACGAGCTGGCTCTCTTGTTCTTCGAAGATATGAAGCTATCCGGGTGCTGTCCGAACTCTCGAACGTATGTTGCTGCGCTTGCCGCCTGTGCGAGCTCGGCAATGCGAGAAGAAGCGGTGGATGTCGACGGGAAAGTCGTCAAGAGAAAGAGCTTGGAAACTCGGGTGGCTATCCACGGTGAAGCTTAAAACATCAGGAGCTGTGAGGACGTGTTCGTTGGGAACACACTGATTGATAATGTATGCAAAGTGTGGGAAGCTAGAGGAATCGCGCAGGGTCTTCGATGGCATGGCTGGCCGCGACGTGGTTTCGTGGAACGCAATGATCCAGGGATCTGCTGGAAATGGAGACAGCTTGGAGCTGGCTCGGGAGAACGATCCGGACGAGAGAACGTTTGTTGCTGCGCTCATGGCCTGCGTCCACCTTTCAGCATCCGAGCAACCTGTCCCGCGAGAAGATTGAAACCTAGTGTGAATCCAGAGCCTAGTAAAGGGGATGGAGATTCATTCTCTCACCGCGAAGTTTGGGTGCTGCGCACAGATTTGTCGGGAGCAGCTTGGTGGACATGTATGCCAAGTGTGGAGATATGGTGGAAGCTCGAGCAGTTTTCAAAGGCATGCGTAGCCGGGACGTTGTCGTTTGGACGAGCTTGATGTGAGAGTGAGCTCGGGCTGGAACTCTTGGAGAGCATGGAGTGTGCTCCAAACACTCGGACTCTTGTAGCGGGACTTACGGCCTGTGGGAACGTTGGGTCCAGGAAAATCCAGGCTGAGCTTTACAGGCGTGGGCTGGAAGACGACCAAGTTGTGGGGACGTGCATGGTAAACTTCTACGGTTAGTGCGGAGGCGGCCGAGCACTTGTTTGGATCTCTGGCAGTCCGAGATATCGTCGCCTGGAATGCACTGATCACAGGAATCGGCCAACAGGGTGACACGTCGCTCGTGTTCGAAGCCTTTCGCGAGATGCCAGAAGATGGCGTGGGAGCAAACGCGATCACGTTTGTCTACGGCGGCCTGGTTGAACGAGGCAGGGAGTTATCCAGGCAATGGATTGTTTGCGGGATTCATCACTACAGCAGCTTGGTGGATCTCTTCCGGCATGCAAACCGACTGCAAGAGGCCGTTGAGCATGCCTTTGAGAGCGGACGCTGTGGTTTGGAGGAGCGTCCTCGGGGCCTGCCGTAAGTGGAAGAACGTGGAGGTGGGGAGGATTGCGTTCGAGGCACTGACGAAATATCCGCTTTCAAGCCTCTGGCTGCGTACGTTCTGATGGCGAGCATCTACCGGAGCGATCAGGAAGACGCTTGATCTTCATCAAGCGGTCACACGCTCGATGGTGATGGATTACGAACTGGAAGCAAGAAAGGACGGCAGCAACGTATTGCCAATGGTGGACGAGCTAGAGATTCGATTGCCAGCATCCACAGATTGTGGGTTGCCGCAAAGTACACTGTGGCAACTTTACCACATGAGCAGCACCATCCCCTACCCTTCCCAACAACCATAAACTTCTCCTCCAAACAGCAGAGTGGAAGCATCCAGCGGCCATTGGTGCTGTCTACAATCTCCAGGTGCTGGATTTGACACTGAGTGGACGACTTGGGCCCGAAAGTAAACACTCTCACGCTCTAGTTCAAGGAGAGCAAAACCCACGTTGAGGGTTCCAGTGTCTCGTACACGCAGAGGTTTATCGCAATCGTTAGGCCTACGGACTGGCAGAAGTCAAGTCTATGGCGTTTTGCACTCGAAGAACGTACCAAAAGCCTCCTTGTATAGGCCAAAGCTCTCCTGTTGATGGATTGTGGAAGGCGCGTGATAGATGCCGTGTATTGCTTTGAGGTTGTCTGCAAATCACAGACCTGCCAGGTGAAGAACAAGGCGCAAAATAACTCCCAATAAACTCTCTGTCATACTTCAGCTAAAAGCTTTTCAGGAATTGCCTGGAAAATCCCTTGCATCATCTTTTGCACTACTAGACAAAGATCCATGGCTACTAGCATTTGAGCCCTCTTTATATACTAATATATATAAAGTTCAAATCAAGTTTGGATGGTCAAACAAGTAAATATAAATAGCTACAAGACAAATGAAACTATAAAAATAAGATAAATAGGCTATAATTTAGTTAGGAGCCTAGAAACTAGCTTACATGTGTGCAATGAAGAATTGACAGGCTAAAATCAAACAACATGTGCTAGTACAGTTTGACAAGTCAAAAAACATAAGATAATATAAAAAGTTTATGAATACAGGCTGACTAGTCTCTACTACGATGAATATTCTGAATATTCAACGATGTGGTTGCCCCATATTCCAATAAAGAAAGTTTTTTGACTTTGGCCATTTAAATGAGTTGAGCTTCAATACTGTTATGTGGTAATGAAGTTTAGCCATAAAATGTAGGATTGATTTTCATTAAGCGGTCATGGTGATGGATTATCATGGAAGCTAGAAAGGATGGCAGCGGCACGGTAGATGAGCTAGAGATTTGATTGCCAGCATCCACAGAGCTGGGAATGAGCTCTGTGGATTGTCGCAAAGTAGGTCCAGAAGAACGCGATGAAGAAGGCTGCCACGAAGATGGCGACAGTGACAAGTGTTGTCACGTCCCTATGGTCCTGTTCGCTACCACCTTGTCCGTCTCTTTTAGGTCTATGCGGCGGCGTAACAGTGCTCGAACAGGTGATGGTCAGTGGCAAGCCACAGAGCTGGTTCCCTGCGAAGAGAGCCGCGTCCATGGACGAGAGTTGCGTGCTGTCAGGTGTCCGTCCCACCAGGCTATTGTTGGAGACGTCGAAGACAGTGAGAAACGAGAGGTCTGTCACGGACGATGGTATGGAGCCATTGAGACGATTGCTCGCAAGCAGCACCCAAGAGAGATTCCTTGCCTTCCCCAGGGACTCGGGAATGGGACCTGTTAGCTGGTTGTGGCTCAGGTTCAGCAGTTGGAGATTGTAGAGGTTGCCAATGGCCGCCGGAATGCTTCCAGTCAGCTGGTTGGAGGAGAGGTCGATGGTTGTCGGGAAGGCGAAGCTGTCGTAGACGTGTCCTTGGCTGGTATAAATATCCAGCGGAACCCGTTTGCTCTCTTGGTAAAGCTGGACGTTGGCAAACAGTCGGCCAATGCTTACCGGAATCTCTCCCGAGAACCTGTTAAGCGAGAAGTACATGGCTCGTAAGTTCGTAAGCCTGGGAAGCCAGTCCGGGATGGAGCCGCTGAAGCTGTTGTTCGAGAGAAGGAGGAACTGCAGAGACGACATGTTTTGCAACATGGCCGGGACTTCTCCAGACAAGTTGTTCGATTCAACGTTGAGGGCTATCAGCGAGCTCATCTTGCCATAGGAGGCCGGGATGGAGCCAACAAGATCGTTGTGGGAAAGCGTCAGAAAGAGCAGGCGGCTCAAATTTTCGAAGCTGGCAGGGAGATTTCCAGAGAACATGTTGTCGTCCAGCATGAGCAAGACGAGCTCCGTGCAGTTGGAGAGTCTGGAAGGGAGCTCCCCGCTGATGTAGTTGCCGTTTAGAACTAGCCACTGGAGATGCGAGAGCTTCGAGAGCTCGCCTGGGATGGTTCCAGTCAAGTCATTGCCATCGAGCCCTATCTTTCTGATGTTCGAGAAGTTCCCAAGCTCCGGAGGTATGGCGCCACTAAAACGATTCCCCCCGAGAACCAGCATCTGGAGATGCGAGAGCTTCGAGAGCTCGCCTGGGATGGTTCCAGTCAAGTCATTGCCGTCGAGCCATATCTCTCTGATGTTCGAGCAGTTCCCAAGCTCCGAAGGTACGGCGCCACTCAAACGATTCCCCGTGAGAAGTAGGATCTCCAAGTTCCTCAAGCTTCCCAGCGTATCCGGGATCGTTCCGTTAAACCCGTTTTGCCAGAGGGATAAAATCTCGATGCTTGCAAGGTCGCCATCTTCCAGCTCCAGTGGCCCGGAGAGAAGGTTGTTTGCAGCGCGTAAATCTGAGAGCTTGCGTAGCCTTCGCAAGCTCGGTGGCAAACCACCCTGGAGCGAATTGTTGGAGATACGCAAGTACCTGAGCTCCAAGTTCTTGCTCCAAATATCGGGTAGATCTCCTCTAAACCTGTTATACGATATGTCCAGGCGCGTCAAGTTCGTCATCTCCCCGAAAGCTTCTGGAATGGAGCCGCTGAGTCCGTTGTGCGAGAGTTCCAGTGCCTCCAGTCCCAGGTTACCACCAATGGAAAAGCTCCCAGTTAAGTTGTTGATGGACAGGTTGAGCGATCGCAGCGTCAAGCTAAACTTTGGGAGCCCGGCCATTGTTAAGAAGTTCGCACTGAGGTCCAGGCTTTCCAAACTCTCGAGGCTGGAGAGATTGCCCGGGAACTCTCGCAGAGAATTGGAGCTCAAGTTGAGGAGCTTGAGCTGCGTGTTCTTGCAACCAGGGACTTTCAGCGAGGAGAGGCCGTTTTGCGAGAGGTCCAGGCGAGCCAGAGCTGGAAGCTCGTCCCAGATGGCAGGAAGAACTCCTGAGAGATTAAACCTGGACAGAGCGAGGCCCTCCACTACGTTGTCCGAGCTCCACTCCACACCCCGCCATGCTCTTGGATTGGCGGTCTCGTTCCACACTTTGATACCAAGCCTGTCACGGAGAGAGAGAAGAACCTGTGTGTCGTTCACGATTGTGGATGGATTCGTGGGGCACTGTGACCGGGATCTTGTGAGAAAGACGAATAGAAACAAAGGCAGCAGCAAATCCGAGAGAGACATGGCCGATGCTCTTTAATCAAACCAATGGATCAGAACTGTTGTGGTGTGAAAAGGGATGGACATAACACTCATGAGCTCGTTCATTGTGTTCCGACTCTTTTTACAACATGACTCATGACCACGTGGACATGCCACGTCAGCTGTTCGAGACTGACATCTCGACACTCCCACTCTGGCTCGATCAGCTGAGAGGATGGACTACCCCTCCCACTCAGCCGAAACAGATGGAGAGCAGACTCCCAGTGCGGCGCGATGGCGTTCAAAGGAGTCTCGAGCCAAAGCCTTCGTGAGTATATCAGCCACCATTGCCTCGGTGGGGCAATATTCCAGCAACAACTTTCCATTTTGGACTTGTTCCCTCACGTAGTGGAAATGAATCTCGATGTGTTTCGTCCGAGAATGGAAGCGTGGATTGGCGGCCAGTGCAAGAGCACTTTGGTTGTCCGAGAACAGCACCATAGGGCCGGTGCAAGCAGGAATCTGGGGCAGGTCACGGCAGAACTGGGTCAACCAAATCACTTCTTTGCTGGCAGCGGTTAGGGCAATGTACTCTGCCTCTGTCGAGGACAGAGCCACCAGCGGCTGGCGCTTACTGCTCCAGGACACAGCAGCCCCATGGAGCAAGAACGTATACCCGGAGGTAGAGAGCCTTGAGTCCTGGTCGCCCGCCCAGTCCGCATCCGAGTACCCATGAAAGTTCCTGTGACACAAGTGAAGCTGCAAATGCAAGGTACCTTGAACGTAGCGGAAAATCCGCTTCACAGCTTGCCAATGTGCAGGTCGGGGGTTCTCGAGGAACTGGGAGACCATCCCAACAGCATAGGCGAGATCTGGTCGGGTTCCCAGCATCAAATAAACAAGACTTCCCACAGCTTGACGATATGGCACCGTGGCCATGTACTCTCTTCCTCCGTGACAGGGGCCATGTCACGGCTAAGTTTGTGATTGACCTCAAGAGGTGTGGCCACAGAAGAGCAGTCTAGCATATTGAAGCGTTCCAAGATCTCCCTTGCATAATGAGCTTGTGTCAAACTCAAGGTGCGTGCTCCTAGATTGCGTATAATTTGGATGCCAAGGAAATGGCGAAGCTCACCCAGGTCAGACATCTCAAATTCTTCACTCAGCTTCTTTTTCATCTCGTCCAGCAATTGGCGGGATTTTGCACCAAGAATGCAGTCGTCAACGTACACAGAAAATCGTCACCACACTTGTACAGGTACACGTTTCCTTCCACTGCAAGAGGAACACACCCCAGGCTCTTGAAGAACGCATCAATGCGTTCAAACCAAACCCTTCCCATACAGGGCGCGATTCAGCTTGCAAACAAGATGTTCCTCACCAGGTTTGACGAATCCAGGTGGTTGCTTGACGTAGACCTCCTTGTTCAACTTGCCGTGCAGGAAAGCAGTGCGAACGTCCAACTGGTGCAGTTCCAGGTCGTACTTGGCAGCCAGTGCAAGGATGACTCGCATAGAGGTCAACTTCACAACTGGTGAGTACGTCTCCATGTATTCCAAACCTGGAATCTGGCTGAATCCCCGTGCGACAAATCTGGCCTTGAACTTTGCTACAGTTCCATCAGGTTTGTACTTGACTGTGAAAATCCATTTCGAGCTCACAAGTTGTCTTTGTCATTGTATTGTTTTGCTCATGCGAATGCATTTCAGCATTCATGGCTTCTCGCCACTGGGCAGCATGAGGTCCAGCTAATGCCTTGTCAACATTCGCTGGAATGGGGATTCGCCCTGGATTAGCAGCCACGAAGTTAGCCTGGTGCGTTCCTTTCTTTTTAATTTTTCCAAAACTAAAGAAAGGATGAGATTGCTCAGCTTCCAGTTGCAGCCTCGATGGTACGGGGACTCGAGCAGAGCGCCGAGGTTCAGGATGTGCTGGAGGGTGGATCACAGATGGTGGAACAAGTGGAGAGTCTGGGAGAGCTCCCACTGAAGTTGGCGACCTGCTTCCAGCTCCCACTGAAGGTGATGATCCACGTCCAGCTCCCACTGAAGATGAGCCGAGGAAGAACTCAGGAGCAGCTTGAAATTCCTCGTCGCTCTCGAAGTAAGTGTTCATCAGCTCTTCAGAGAAGCTAGGTGTTCTCACTGGAGGAGATTCTTGCAGAGGCATAGCTGGAGGGCGTGGTGGCAGTGCTGGAGGAATCACCACATTACCACCAGCAGGAGCAAGAGGCAGCAACGGGACTTGAGAAGGAGCTGTAGTCACGTGAACTGTGGGAGTTCCATGAAAGTAGGAGCAGGAACTTCAGCACGATCCTTGTACAGCTTGCTCTCATCAAAGAGCACATCCCATCTTTCCAGCAAAGTCTTGCGCTTGAGAGAATAAAGGCGATATCCTTTCATGCCTTCCAAATATCCCAGGAAAATGGATGGCTCAGCCTTTGACTCCAGTTTGCGGTGTTGCTTGTGTGGAATGTGTGCATAGGCGAAACAGCCAAAAATGCGGAGATGATCGTAACCAGGTGCGTGACCAGTCTAAAGCTCATAAGGTGTGCAGGGCACGTGTTGGCAACCGGTTTCGAACATAAACAGCCGTGTTAACTGCCTCACCCCAGAAAGCAGCCGGCATTCCCGCATGAAGCAGCATACAGCGCGCAGCTTCTATGATGGTGCGATTCACCCTCTCGGCAGCACCATTCTGGGCATGTGCATCAGGGACAGCATACTGGCGCTGATCCCAGCTTCAGCACAAAACGTCTCGAATTCTCCAGAGACGAATTCTCTTCCACGATCACAGTGGAGCATACGAACTAAACAGCTGTGTAGATTTTCTACCAAAGCCTTGTATTGGCTAAAACAGTTCTGACTTATGAGCCAGCAGGTACACGATCAGGTACCGCGTGTAATCATCCAGGAAGGTGACTACATAACGTTTGCCTCCCAAAGATTCAACCATAATCGAACAAACGTCCGAGTGTACCAACTCAAGAACAGAACTTGCTTGAGAATGAGAAATCTGTGGAAAAGGAAAAACGTGGTGTTTTCCACCAACACAAGCTTCGCAGAAGGGCAGCGCGCTCCCAGGCGCCACAGGAACATCCACCTTTTTTAGCTGTTGCTCGTTCACGTGACCAAGGCGCTGGTGCCAGGTTGCAAGTGTTGGTGGAGCCCGAGCCATCAGCGCCACAGGTGGAAGGATCACGTGAGCATCCAGGCGGTAGAGCGTATCAACTGGAACTCCAAAAGTGACCTTGTCTCCAGTCTCGGCATCCAGCACGAACGCTCCCTGTGCTGTGAACAGAGTATCGAAGCCTACTTGAGCAGCAGTTCCAATCGACAGCAGTGTGTGTGTAAGTCCCGGATGTTGAGAGTGGCCCTGTGCCACGTGGCTAGTCCACGTGGAGAGACACGAGTCTTCACCGGTTCACCATGTCACACATACGTACATTTTCCATTCCATATATGCTATGACGGATCTTGAGCACCATCACACGGTTTCACCTTTCGTTAGATGGTATCAGAGCAATGCCTGGGAGAGCGAGAAGAATTCGAAACCGTAGGATCAGGGCGACACTTGCTAGGGTGAATCGGAGCCTCCGTCTACGTAGACAGAGGCGTGCCCTAATCCAAACGCTCCAGGCCTTGCAAGAGGCACTGGACGACTAAGAACCTGGACCTAGACTTGAGCGAGTGGTGGGATTGGGTGTCGGCACCCATGGCAGCCACTGTTCCTACAAATCCGCCTCCAAATCCACCACCTATTTCCCCTCCCGTCACAAATCCGACTGTGCCTACAGCGGATATCGTTTCAGTGGACGCAAATCCACCAAAATTTGATGGGAGGAACTGGCGCTTCTGGAAGACAAAATTCGAATCCTATATGGATGAACGAGGCCTCTGGGACATCACCACAGGAACTGAGACACTTCCAGATACAGCTACAGTGGATGAAACTGCGAAGTATCGCAAGAAGGACCGGAGAGCTTTGGGCAAATTCCATGCAGCGCTGGAGGGGCGAGAATTCCATTGCATTGGACGGTGCAAGAGTGCAAAGGAAGCATGGGAGGCCATGAAGCAGACTTACCAGATCCCTTCAACATCCCATCGCATTTTTTTACGGAAGCAGCTTCATGCACTGGTGATGGCTGAAGGGGACAACCTCAAGGATCATCTTGCTGCTGTGAGAACCATCTTAGATGATCTTAAGGATGTGGGAGCAAACATAGAGGATGAAGAAGAAGCAGAGCTGGTGCTCGTCACACTTCCTCCATCCTTTGATCCTCTCATATGTAGCCTCACTACCACTGGAACTCCTCTAACCCTGAATGGCGTGATCAGTAGCCTCCAGGACGATGATCTGAGACGAAGAGCAACAACAGGATCAGAGGCCGTTGCATTCTACTCTTCTCTCAGGAAAGAACCAGTGAACAAAGGGAAACAAGGAGCCTCTTCATCCAAGAAGCCCAAGTGTTCTCATTGCAACAAGAAAGGCCATGACGAAGCTCAATGCTGGGTGAAAAATCCATCTCTCAAGCCTGTAAGGAACAATGCAAAGAAAAAGGTGGTACACGCCTTCATCTTGTCACGAGCTATGGCAGTGGCAGTGGCACTACCTGGATTCTGCTGCTACAGACCATATGTCCTACAGCCACAGAGGAGTATGTCATCGTTGGCAATACCCAGCAGCTTGCTGTGAAAGGAATTGGAACCATCAAGTTCACTTTACCACAAGGAATAGTCGTAAAGATCCACGAGGTTCTTTATATTCCTGGTTTATGTGCTAATTTGTTCTCTGTGGGACAATTTGCTGAGGATGGGTATCAGTTCGCCATTACACCTCGCCAATTCCAGCTGATCTCGACCACAGGAGCCATCCTCACAGCGTCCCGGCCTGGACGGCGTGACCTCTACCGCCTTACCATGCTGCCAGATCTTGCTGGACGGAGTCTGGGCCTACACGCACAAAAGACAACGACCAGTCATTCACTGGAGCTTTGGCACGCACGCCTGGGGCATCCTAGTGCTGATAGAATCAAGCAGCTAGCACGCGAGCAGATGG